GAAATCTATTGTCAATCTTGTTACTTCCGCTCGCCAAAATTCTACTCTTTCCAGTAAGCGCAGTTCCTTTGATTGGATGTATGATTGCGGTGCCACGCACCATATGACAGGTTTCTGGAATACTTTCATGATACTAGGGACATCCCACCACGTTTTGTACAATTACCTAATGGCACGATTACTATTGCCAGTCAGGCTGGGACAGTCAAACTCGGTTCTCATATTGTGCTTTATGACGTTCTTTTCGTTCCTAGTCTTCGGTGTAGCTTGATATCATTATATCAATTGTTGGAACAGGCTGGTTGTGTGGCCAATTTTACTAATAAATTTTATGCTATTCACGAGCGCACTATGAGGATGGTGATTGGAGCGGGTGAACTGTTGGGGGGACTGTATTTCTTTCGAGGGACTGTCATTGCGGCCGCTTCTCGAGTGACAACAGTCTCCACAGACTTATGGCATAGACGAATGGGTCATCCTTCTTCCTCAGTTCTTGCTCAGCTTTCGTTTATTGATTATAGTCTTTTGGCATCGAATAAAGCATGTGATATATGTTACAAAGCTAAGCACTCGCGTACTAGTTTTTCTGTTAGTAGCAGTGTTGCTCTTGCCAAATTTACGTTGATTCATTGTGACTTGTGGGGACCTTACCGTGTTCCCGCTTTTAGTGGGGCACGATATTTTTTGACCATTGTGGATGATTACTCTCGTGCTACTTGGGTTTATTTGTAAGATGATAAAAGTGTTGTCTCTTCTACTTTATTGAATTTCTTTGCTTTGGTTAAAATTCTTCGCACTGATAATGGAACTGAATTCACTTGTATGCGGGATTATTTTCATCGAGAAGGAATTATCCATGAAACTTCTTGTGTTGGAACCCCTCAACAGAATGGGCGTGTGGAGCGTAAACACCAGCACATTCTCAATGTTGCTCGTGCCTTACGTTTTCAAGATAATTTGCCTCTTGAATTTTGGGGTCATTGTGTTCTTGCAGCTGGGTATATAATTAATCGCACGCCTACTTCAGTTTTGTCCGACAAATCTCCTTATGAGATGTTGTATGGAAAGTCTCTTGTGTTTACACATTTACGAGTTTTTGGATGTCTCTGCTATGCGCATAATCAAGGCACAAATGGTGACAAATTTGCAAGTAGAAGTCGTAAATGCGTATTTGTTGGTTATCCTGCTGGAAAAAAAGGATGGTGTGTGTACGATTTGGATAGTGGTACTTTCTTTGTCCTTCGTGATGTTAAATTTTGTGAATCAGAATTTCCTTACATGATGCCTTCTACGTCTACCACTTCACCGGTTTCTACTAATTTTTGGCCCGCACCGTGTGATGATGTGGATGATATTGTGCCACATACTGGTCCTTCTGAATTTGGGACGCCTAGCAGCGTTGAAGATAGGGGGTGGGCCTCCTGCGCCTCCCCAGGAGGAATTACTAGCGCCTCCCCAGGAGGAATTATTGGGTCGAGGTCGTCGGGCTACGCGCCCCTCTTCTCGCCTCACTGATTTTGTATCTCATACAGTCTCTCCCTCGTCCCCCTCGACTGTCTTCCCCGACTCCTCGCCATCGTCAGGTACTCCTTATCCTATTGCACATTATATTTCTTGTGATTCATTTTCACCCGGTCATAAGTCTTTCTTGGCAGCTGTGACTTCCGCTGTTGAACCTCAGTCGTTCGCTGAGGCGGTTCGTGATAATAATTGGCGCTCGGCCATGCAACATGAAATTCAAGCCCTGGAGAATAATCATACCTGGGATGTTGGACCTCTTCCCTTTGGAAAACATGCCATTGGATGTAAATGGATTTATAAAATTAAGTATCATTCTGATGGATCTATTGAGCGCTATAAAGCGCGCTTGGTTGTTTTGGGAAATAGACAGGTTGAAGGGATTGACTATCAGGAGACTTTTGCCCCCGTGGCAAAAATGGTCACGATTCATCTTGTTTTGGCTGTAGCTTCGGCTCGACACTAGGAGGTCCATCAGATGGATGTTCATAGTGCCTTTTTACACGACGACTAGACTGAGGAAGTATATATGAAGCTTTCTCCTGGTTTTCATTCTCCTCGGCGTGGTGAGGTCTGTCGATTGCGCTGTTCTTTGTATGGTTTGAAGCAAGCTCCTCGTTGTTGGTTCGCCAAGCTTGCTACTGCTCTTCAGCAGTATGGTTTTGCACAGTCTTATTCTGATTATTCTCTGTTTACTTTACATCGAGATTCTGTGCATTTACATGTCTTAGTTTATGTTGATGATCTCATCATTTCTAGGAGCGATCCTGCATATATTGCTGCTTTTAAAGAGTACTTGAGTCGTTGTTTTCATATGAAAGATTTGGGAGTCCTGAAGTATTTTTTGGGCATTGAGGTTGCTCGGAACATCTAGGGTATTTTCCTATGCCAGAGAAATCACACGCTTGACATCGTTGCCGAGACCAGCTTACTTGGCGGCAAGCCAGTCGACTTTCCTATGGAGCAGAATCATCAGCTTCCAGCAGCCGATGGACCTCTATTCTCCGACCCTGAGAGATATCGTCGGTTAGTGGGTCGTTTGATTTATTTAGCCGTGACTCGTCCAGACTTGTCGTATGTTGTGCACATGCTCTCCCAATTTATGCACCAGCCTCGTCAAGCACACTGGGATGCTGTTATTCGTGTGGTTCGATACTTGAAGGGTACGCCAGGCCAAGGTATTCTTCTTCGCTCTGACTGTGATTTGCAGATTTATGGTTGGTGTGACTCCGACTGGGTGTCTTGTCCTACTACCCGTCGGTCCCTCACCGGTTGGTTCGTTCAGCTTGGCCACTCTCCGATATCGTGGCGTACTAAGAAACAATACATTGTTGCTCGTTCCTCAGCCGAAGTTGAGTATCGCGCTATGGCAACCCTTACTTGTGAATTGAAATGGCTGCGGGGTCTGCTACGCAGTCTTGGTGTCGCTCATTCCCAGCCAATGCGGATTCACTGCGACAGTCAGACGGCTCTTCATATTGCCGCTAATCCCGTATTCCATGAGCGCACCAAACACATTGAGGTTGACTGTCATTTTCTTCGTGATGTTCTCGTCCAAGGCCTCATTTCTGCTACTCATGTCTCTACTCATTCCCAGTTAGCGGACATTTTCATCAAATCCTTGGGCAAGCGCGAGTTTGATTTCTTCCTTGGCAAGTTGGGCATTTGAAACCCGCATGCTCCAACTTGAGGGGGTGTTACCGTGTATATTTATGTTACATATTTTGTATATTATTAGAGGAGATATTTTAGGGATAATTAGGATCTTGTGATTAGGTAGTTTTCATATTCTTCATGTAATTGTGGTTATATATTTTGGACTAATAAGTATTCACGATCATCATGATTTAAGGGATGAATCAATTTTCCCAATATTTTCTTGTCAATATTCAGTTTCCTTTTCAGTTCAAACTGAATTTTTTGTTTTAGTTTTATCTGGTTTAACCAAAAGTTGTTCACCTATAGTCATTTCATCTTGATTTGACACACACACACACACAAAAAAAAAAAAAAACCCCAAAACTGCCTTCAGAAACCACTTCGTTGTTTTCACCTCACTCTTTCCCACCACCCAAACTTTGACCACTCCGGCAACTAATCTGCAACTCCAACTCTCATCCATCACTCTCGTCTCAACCAATAAGAATTGGTTCATAATTTTAAATTTTTGATTGTTCGAGAAAATTTTATACTACATCCTATTCTTTTTAAATGTCATTTTGACTCTATCAACTATTAACCAAATAAATGTCGTTTTAGATCTTTTGTACATGTTTTTTCTATTATTATCCTCTTTTAGTCAATAAATACACTACGTCTTTCCATATTCCCTCTTCATTTTTTCTCAAAACATTCATCTCTATCTTCATTAAATAGGGTTATTATTGACAACAAAAATATTCTTAATTATTGTGCAACTTCTCAAAACGACATTTATTTTGAATAGGAGGGAGTACTGTAGTATTAAAAATAAAAACTAAAATATGTTATTTTTATTTCATTTTTCTCTATAACTTCCACTAACATAATGAATTCATAAAAAAACAATCATCACTATTCAACGAAAATATTATTCATTCACCTAAAATATATCTAAATACTAATTTTACCCATTATTATTTTATAATTTTTATATCACACAATTAATAATTTATTTTTTAAAAAACAATCTTGTATCCATCCCTCAAAAAATACCAAAAATATATTAAAAAATTATTATTAAAATTTTATATGTAACAATGTCTGAAAACACAAAAAAGTCATTTATCCTAAAATTTATAACCGTTGAATCAATTATCTCCAATTTATATGATAATTTAATAATTATCAATGATTTACATGATAATTTAATAATTATCAAATTATCAACTATCTCCGACGGTTACATGATAATATTAAGGAGTCCGTATCTCCCTTTCTAATAGTTACCCCAAAAACAACAAAATCCTAATTAAATAAAAATTCATCTATTTCAAAAAAAAAAAAAAAAATCATCATCACAAGCAATTCTTGTTTTTTATCTTGTGAAAAGGTTTTTGGTCTTCCCAAAAAACTCTTTAAAACCCTACTCACTTTCTCACTCCCCTAATAGGGTAAATTGCGCCAAACCCCTCTGTATTATACGAAATCTGCGCCTTATCCCCCTGTATTTTAAAAAATGCATCATACCCCCTTGTATTATACTTTTGATTGCGCACGCTCCCCTCTCCTCGTATAATACAAGGGGTATGGCGCATTTTTAGGGGATAACGCGCAATCAAAAGTATAATACAAGGGGGTATGACGCATTTTTTAAAATACAGGGGGATAAGACGCAGATTTCGTATAATACATGAGAGTTTGACGCAATTTACCCCCGAAGAAAATGAATAAAAAAGCAAACAATTAATAAAGGAAAAAGAAAGATAAAAATCCCAGTAGAGATTTTTCATTACACATACACACTGCCTTTACCACAACACACTCACACTACTCAGCCGGCCATGGATGTATACGAGGCTACTCAAACAGTGATGTCGAGGATCCAAGCTCTGGATCCGGAGAACGCCTCCAAAATCATGGGCTACATACTGATTCAGGACCAAGGCGACAAGGAGATGATACGGCTGGCCTTCAGCCCGGACCCGCTTCTCCTCTCTTACATCTCCCGGGCCAAGGCCCGTTTGGGCTTCCCTTCAAATTGCCGCTCTTCAAACCCTCCTCCCCCTTTCTCCAACCCCGCCCTGCCCAGCACCCCTTTCCCCGAGAATTCGCCGGAGGTCGTGGTTCCGAACAGCGGCGGGTTCCTTCCGAGCAACCCGTACGGCTCCGGCGTTCTGGAGAATGACTTGGGCGACGAGTACCGGTTCCCGTTTCTCGATAACCCTGCGGCGTGGGACCCGGTGATGAACCCGGGCGGGAGGAGCGATTCCCTGGTCTTCCCGAACTGCGAGGAAGCCGGCGGCGTTTCGTCTTCCCCTCAGCCGCACCCGTTCCACAAGAGGAGTTATTCTGTCAACGACGCCGCGTACCTGTCAACCCTCGATGAGGGGGGTTTGTGGAGGCCTTGCATGTACTGTGCGAGGGGTTTCTGCAAGGACGGCGGTGGCTGTAAGTTCGGGCACGGCGAGTTCTGTGGTGGGTTTGCCCCAGTTGATGTCGGGTCTCCAGGGAGGAGTGTTTCCGGGTTGGACGAGTTACTGAGGATAAAAGCCCTTCAGCAGCAGAGGCTTGCGTTCATGGCCGCCGGGGGTCGCCGGCCTTTTGCTTACAACAAATGCATGGACGCTATATATGAGAACCTTAGGTAAAAAAATTTCTTGGGGAAAATTAACTTCGCAAACTTGGAATGTCTTTGAATTTATGAAAAAAAACCCGACCTTTTTGTTAAATGAAACTCTGTTTTTGCAGAATTCAGCTATTGTACAGCATCTATTGATTCTTGATTGGTACTGCTGATGTTCGATTTTGTAGAATTTCCTAATTCAATGGGTTCTAATCCTGATAGGAGTGGCTTCTTTGGATTGAGCGCTAGTGCCGATTCGAGCGCCCGGCAAATTTACTTAACATTTCCGGCTGACAGTACATTCAAGGACGATGATGTTTCTAATTACTTTAGGTGGGTAAATGAAGTTGAACCATAGCTTTCGATTGTAGAATGACAAATGATTATACATTTTCTATATTGCCATGATTTGTTAGCATGTTTGGACCAGTGCAAGATGTTAGAATTCCATATCAGCAGAAAAGAATGTTCGGGTTTGTGGCATTTGTGTACCCGGAGACTGTTGAGCTCATTTTGGCCAAAGGGAACCCTCATTTTGTGTGTGATTCACGCGTGCTCGTCAAGCCATACAAGGAGAAAGGCACATTTAAAGAGAAGTACAATTTTTTTTTACCATCTTTAGTCTTTACTCTCCATGATGATCTTTAAGATTTAGCTACTTTATTGTTGTTGCCATTTTAATCTGAAATTATTTGTAGGAAACAACAGCAGCAACATCGCTTAAGCCCATCGGAACTCGACATTGGCGAAAACTTTGATACCCCCTTTGGTAATCTAGCTCACATGATTGTCTGTTCTATTTTTGGTGAATGAATCGAGTTTATTCTCTAATTTACATTTCACATTTTCTTCTTTTTTTTTTCTGCATGCAGGTCCGAGAATGTTGTTGAGTCCACGAGAGATGATGCTGAGGGGGAAAATGGAGCAGGAAGCAGAAATGCAGCAAGGCATTGAACTCCAAGGTCGAAGGATGATGGATTTACAATTAATGGACCCAAATAACGAGAACCATAATTTCCATCGTCTGCAGAGATTCCCGGCCGGTGTCTCATATTCCTTCCCAAGACACTGTCAATTGTTGATGAACCATCATCTCACAAAATCCTCCGTTTCCATCATCAGCCAAGAAAATTCAGAAGGTTCACTTAAATTCATCATAAGAGGAAGATACAAATCTTCTTACTGTTATTATCACATGTATCTAATTATCCTTGAATTGATATTAGCAGAATTTGATGGTGGCAAAGAAACAGCCATTGAATCTGATGACAAGCTGATGGAAGCTGGAGACGAGGAGTCTTCTGCTGACAACACTACTAATGGTGATGAAGAAAAGCTGAATCGGGGGAACTCTGATGATTCTGTTTTCCATGAAAGGTATGAGGGGGTTTTTATTCAAAGAAAATGCTGCAGAGTTATAAAGTTTGTCGATGTTAATCTATAAAATCAATCACTGCAAGTTATCTGTTGATATGTTGTACTGTGTGGGTGATAATTGTAATTCTGAGATATACTATTGGGGTATTTATCATAGATTCCATTACTTATTGTCTTAATGTGCATATCTGTACTGATTTTTCATCGTTTTTTTGTGCTTTTGTGCACAGTGTGGACTGCAGCTTGGAGCATGCCCTCCCAGAAAATCTATTTAATTCGCCTACGAAATCTGGTGCTGAAAACCGCTCGTGTGTTTTCTCACAGCACTTGCCTGAAGCTAATGACAGTGAAAAAGATCTGCTCTCGGGTAGCAGCTCACCTCTCACCATAGCTTCTCTCAAATCATGTTACCTTCAAATGCCTAGGTATTGTTTTGCCATTTAAGATTACCTATTGTCTGCTGTCGACTTTACTCCATTCGATAAATTTTAGCCTTGTTGTAACTGAATACCGTCTTCAGGTTTTCTTCCGGACGAGAAGTCGTTGAAATGTAGATGGTGTCTGGTTTTCATGGCTAGTAACCGGAAAATTTTTTAACTTATTTTGCTTTGGTAAGGAGCTCTGTTCTTGGAAGTGTAAAGTTTTGTTATAGTTACAAAAACAAAAACCTTAACCACCCTTGAGATTCTTGTGATTACAAAAAGACAAAGAAAAAACATGGAAATTACAAAAGTTTTTTTTTTTATTTTTTCAACAGTTTTACATCGAATTTATGCAAATTTTATACAATATTTATGTTTTTTTAGGTTATGAATAAGTGATCATTCTTTAGTGACCTTTTTATTAGTTTTCATTTCTTTCAAAAATCATTTTGATTGTAATGTAATTAATTAATTAAAAAAAACCCATACGCATGAGTTTTCCACTAATAGATATAGCGGGATTTATAAGATATTAGTACAACACCCGTGTATTATACGGGTGCTTGTTAAAAAATTATTTTTAAATTTTAAAATTAATGAGAAAACTATATTAAATTTAGTTTACTTTTTTACAAAAAAAAAAATATATTACTATATATTTTATAATGATATGTGTTACTTATAACTTACATGTATTATATTATATTAGTTTCTATAACTTATATCATATAACTACTTGAAATATAAATATATTAGTTGATAAATAATTTTACTTTTCTATAAATATTAAAAATAATTTTATTATTGTTATAAAGATAAATATAAATTATTTTTTTATACATACAATATGGATGTTAAATCGAAACTCATCAAAAGAAGATTAATTTGATATATTACCTATGTAAAATTGATAAAAAATATAAAATTGTTAACTTTTAACATGCGTATACAATTTAATAGTTATAATAAGGAATGATATTAAAATGCAATTAATGCATGTAACATGACCATAAATAATTAACATATTTATGGTAATCCGAACCTAATTATTTTTGGTTTGAAATTAAATTAAAATTTACCCAAGTCTAATAATGAAGCATGTAATTTTGCTACATAAGATTTCAAAGCACCAGAAGCAGTTACGTAGGCTGAACGTGTGTGTATTGAAATAGCTGTTTGCACATCTTTTTAACATGTGTTGTCGTTAGCATCATTGAATTTTTTTTTAAAAAAAAGGCAGAAAAATAGTAAATGCTGTAATTAAAGGGCAATTTCTTTAAAAATCTTTGAGCCTTAATGAAATTCCATGTAAGTGCCTAGGCAATTTTTTTTCCATATTTACCTCCTATTCAAGTTCCATTTAAATCCCTCTAATTAAAAAAAAAAACACAAAAAAAATCATTGTGACATCATCCCACTATCATATTCATTTTTATTATTTTTGTTTACCTAAAATTCTAATTTTTGGCTTTTTCCCCACACTTTTCTTTTCACCTTTTCCCCGTCTCCCTCCTTTTCTTTTCAGCTTCATCTCGCCAACCAACCTTTTTTTTTTTTGCAGCTTCATCTCGCCAGAGACACCAAACTCGGCAAGAAGAACTTCGAAAGCAACAAATTCGGCGAAGTAAGTGATCCCTACGTAAAATTTCTCTGGTCGAAAATTCCTATTTTTCAGGCAACATTGGGGCTTTTCAGGCGAAAACGTGAAGTAGTAAGTATGTATTTATTATATGAGAACTTTGGAGTTAAAAAATCATCTTTACTTCATATATTTTTGTTTAATTTGTTATTAATTGAATTGATTGTCGTTTTTATTAATCCTAAAACAAATAAAGTGATCATAATCTTTTATTGTTGTTCATGTATACTAAATTTATGCTATTGTTAGGTTATTTTAGGTGTTATTCACCATAAAACAAAAAAAATAAGATGAGAACAATCACAATACTACTATTCATGATTTTTGTACCTCTGTTTGTATATATAATACAACTTTGCTCACTGTTGGTACCATATGTGCTGGGAAATGTGAACTTGTTTTATTTTTTATCCAACTATTGTTAGATACATGGAAGAAGCACAAAGTGATATATTAGGGACTTGTACCTACAAAGATGACCGATTGTTAGCTTGGAAACCGTCATGTTAAACTATATTGCGGCAAATGGAAAAAAGAGAATTAGTTTGTCCGATGATGAGGATGTAAAAAACATGATTCAGTTACATGTTTGTTGGAAAGTAAATATTGTAGAGATAGTTGTCATTGAAATAATTGAAACCCCGACCATTGGAAGAAATGAAAGACCGGATGATGGAGTTCAATCCATGCCTATGAGCATGAGCGGGTAATGTTGTTTTCATAATATTAATATCATAAATATGGTGTATTTGTATTATATCATAATTCAATAATTTTTTTAACTTTATCCATTATTTATAAAACTTTGTATTATTTTATCATAAACGAAGGGAAATCTTACCGGAAGGAGAATCGGAGTTGGTAGTGCAAGATAAATCGATATATTCTTGAGATTTTCCATCAAAGAAGAGGGGCATGTATTCAGTGGCTGCGCCGATTAATTTCGAAAGGTTGTTAAAAACTACGCAATTGCAAATAGGCGTTCTTTTAAGTACCGAAAAAATGATCGACATAAGGTCATTGTTTGTTGTAGTGATGAGGGTTGCCAATGGAGAATATATGTCTCAAAATACAAAAGTGATTAGGTGTTTGCCATCCGGAAGAACAATTTAGTCCATACTTGTGGAGTGTCCAATCTTTGGACAAGAGAGACATCCGAAAGTAGACTCTTAATTGGTTCTCAAATACAACTAAGGACAAAACGGGAGATGAATCGAGCTACAGACCTTGCACGATAATCAAAGATCTTCACAGGGACTATGACTTGGAGTTGTCTTACAAAAAGACATGGTTAGGGAAGGATATTGCCATGTAAGATATTCATGGAGCAGACAAGGACTCTTATGATAGATTGAGATGGTATTGTATTACAGTGTGTGAAACAAACCCGGAAACACTATGTATTGTGATTAACCCTATCCAGGATAAGCTTTGGTGACTGTTCATTTGTTTTCATACTTGCCTTGCTGTTTTTTTAGCAGTTTGTCGATCGTTGATATTTTTTATGGTACCCACATAAAAAATAAATACAAAGGCGTTTTGTTTAGGGTTGTAATTAAGGATGTCAATAATGATTTTTCACTTTAGCATTTGTCGTGGTTGATGCCGAGACCGGTGAAAATTGAGAGTGATTTTGCTTGAAGCTGAATAGTAGTTTCTTACATCGCGCTTACCTGTTTCTAGAAACTTCACATTTTTTACGAACCGACACAGCGGCTACTTAAAGCTATCCCTGTGGTTTTTCCTGGCAGCCATCATGCTTATTGTTTGAGACACTTAGTCGACAATTTTAAGAAGCAGGTAAAAAACTTAATTAGTCTGTTTATATTTATATTGAATTTATCACTAATTATTCATAATAAAGCATGTTTTTATTTTTATATAAATTATATTCTATTCATAATATTCTGTTAGTGATGCTTAGTAGTGTTGTGTACATTCTGTTTACATTTTTTTCTGTTTATTAGTGTATATTCTGTTTACATTCGATTTATCATTATTTGCATTACAAGTTCTGCTTATTTCATTGGTGTTATGACGTTATTATCATTATCATGTTATGTACATTTTGTTATTACATTCTGTTAGGTTTTTTATATTTATAAATTTTATTTTCATTATAATGCAGGTTTCATTATTATTATTATTATTATTATTATTATTATTATTATTATTATTATTATTATTATTATTATTATTATTATTTTTTGTAGGTTTGAGGAGTTACCCACTTCATAATAAGAAACATTGGTCCTCGATTTCTATGAAAGCTTCGTATGCTCCTACAAGGCAAGAATTTGATATGCGTATAAATAATATATTGACTACTATGCCTTTTGTTATAAACTTCCTTAGGATTCTAACCTAAGTTGTTGGGTGAATTTTTTATTTTCCGGATATCGTTAGGGATCATCAGTAACAATCAAACCGAATGTTAGAATAATTGGGTGAAGTCAGCGCAATTTTATGCCTATGGTAGCCATGGTGAATCACATAAAGACAAGTAAGAAGAAGTGAAATTTCTTTTCTTGAACGTCAGGGTGAAGTCATGGTGGATCACATAAGGGTGAAGTCAACAAGATTTATGCCTATCGAGTTATTGTACACAAACTTTTTTTAAGGACAAGTAAGAAGAAGTGAATTTTCTGCAGCACGGGAAGGAAAACATACTTCGCACCATTCAAGGACCTCACAACATCATCAAGCACGACAACAGTACTTCTACTAAAATTAGAAGTACACGCCTAATAATCCTCCTTCCGAACAATTTTTTTTCTTAATTCTTTGGATAACACTCACCAAATCACTCTACAAATTCAATAGTTTTTTTTAGCAAATTAACAATCAATAAAATTAATAGAGTATATTAAAATAAAATATTTGAACATATGTCGGCAAAAATTGGACATAAGGATGACAGCCACGCAGGATCGACATATAACAATCAACGAGTTGAGAATCCAACTTGGACCCCAACAAAAGAGCGCACATCGAAGTTGAAAGTGGCATTAAGGATTTTTCTAGAAATCAATGTGCTCTCTTTTGTTCGGGTCCGAGTTGGATTCTCAACTCGTTGATTGCTATATGTCGATCCTGCGTGGCTTCCATTCTCATGTCCAATTTATGCCGACATATGTTCAGGTATTTTATTTTAATATACTATATTAATTTTATTGATTGTTAATTGGATAAAAAAAACTATTGAATTTGTAGATTGATTTGGTGAGTGCTATCCAAAAAATTAAGAAAAAATTATTCGGAAGGAGGATTATGAAGCGTGTACTTCTAGTTTTAGTAGAAGTATTGTTGCCGTGCTTGATGATGTGCTGAGGTCCTTGAATGGTGCAAAGTATGTTTTCTTCCCCGTGCTGCAGAAATTTCACTTCTTCTTACTTGTCCTTAACGTTCAGGAAAAGAAGTTTGTGTACCATAACTCGATAGGCATAAATCGTGCTGACTTCACCCTTATGTGATCCACCATGACTTCACCGTT